TCTTTCTTTCCTTTTATTGTTTTCTTTCTTTCTTTTGTTCCTTTTTTTCTTTCTATTGTTTTTTCTTTTTGTCGCCATTATTCTTTATCTCGCTATTTCCTTTGCTCTGCTCATTTTCTTTTGCCTCTTTCATTTTTCTTTCTTTATTATTTTCTTTCTTTCATTCTTTATTGCTTTCTTTTCTTTCTTTCTTTCTTTCTTTCTTTGCACTTCCGTATTTGATACTTTCCTTCGTTTTTTCTTTCTTTTTTCACTATTCTTCGTAACTATTTCTTCTTTCCATGTTTCTTCCTTTCCTTTTTCTTTCTTTTTCTTTTGCTCTTTCTTTTTTCTTTCGCTATTTATTTAATCTTCCCATTTTGTCCCATTTTTCGTCTCTTTATTTTTTGTTCTTATTTTCTCTCTCTCTCTCTCTCTTTCTTTCTTTCTTTCTTTCTCTCCCTCCCTCTCTTTTCTCTCTCTATTTGTTTCTCTCTATGTCATTTCCTCTGTCTTCCTTTTTCACTATTCTTTGTTCATTTCTTTCTTTTCTGTTTGCTTTTTATTTTCTTTTTCCCTTTTCGAAATTTTCTTTCTTTCTTTCTTTCTTTCTTTTTCGCTTCCATGTATTATTTGAAGACGAACTCCTTGCTTTCTGCTGCAGTAGAAATCTACAGAAGGATGCTGAGGATATCATGGACCGAGCGTGTGGGCAACAATGAGGTTTTGGAGGGGCAGCATATACTTAACATCAGGAAGAGACAGCTGAAATTTCTGGGACTCGTAATTAGAAAAGAGAGCTAGGAAAATCTGCAACTCACAGGGCGGATAGAGGGAAAAAAAAGACAAGGGAAAGCAACGCGTGACATACCTGGCGGGCTTAAGCAAGTGGATGACAAAACGTGGTCTGGGGTAGGTGGCAGAGGGATGAAATTTATTGAGAGCTACAATGGATAGGAAGAAGTGGAGAGCCATCATCACCTACGCCCTGAAGGGTTACGGCACATAGAAAGAAAAAGAAAATCGAACTGCTGCCTTTATCCTGAATTTGATTGCCGACCACTCGTTGATTCTGTGAGATTCTAAGCCAATTCCTTCCAGTCTTGAAGGATATTTAGATACTAGCAGTAGAGCCCGGCGTTGCCCGGGGATGTAACAGTAAGAGATAGATCAAGTATCGACCATCATAAAGACTGAAAAATAAAATTGACAAAGATTATTGTTTAAGGTTGACGGACACACATGTTATGAGTCTACCGATTGAATAGAATTTTATTATAAACAATTGTCTTGTAAATGGAATTTTTAAAGCATTCTGACTAAAAATAAAGAAAAAAGTGTGCAAGACAATAAGAAACACTACCTGCCAAAAAAAAAAATAGTGAATTTTTGTTGAAATCGGTTGAAAAATGTAGGAAATCCGTATATCCATATATAAACGAACACACACACACACACACAAACAACCAACCTGGGTTTTATAATAAGTATAACTCGATATGAGTTGTCCCCCTTTCATTAATGCCTCTTTATCGTGTTTTCAAATTGATTTCGTGCAAAAACAATTGTTTTCCAATTTTTGGCGCTATCAGAACCACCGCAAGGTAATTTTACGTAGTCCTGTGAAGTTTTGTTGAAATCGGTTGAAAAATGTTGGAAATCCGATCCAATATATAAACGTACAGACACACACACAACCTGGGTTTTATAATAAGTATGATGTCCAGTCTCCACGGCTTCAATTTTTTTTCTTCATATACTTTATAGCCATTTAATACGTTTATTCATAAACCCCTACGCATGAGTTAAATGTCAAGGTATACACGTCTCTCTCTAAGCTTAGGTTTCAGTAAACCACGCAGATAAAAAAAAGCCCTGTTTACTCCATTTATGAAAAGACAGTTCTAAAATTCAAATCTCTCAAGGCAAAAGGAAACCACTTCATTATTATTTTTTTTTCAAATCATGGCCATAATAAAAAAAAGTATTTGTTAAAAGCCATCATCGTTTACGTTCAGAAGGAACATGTATCACTTCAGGACATGGGAGATCATGGCTCTCTACAACTTCCTATCCTTTGCAGCCCTTAGTATCGTCTGTCTTTTTATTATACCTCTCATTCCCTGTTCTGCCAACCATTTACACGAACTTGTTAGGTAGGTGTTTCCCACTCTTGCCTTCAGTATGTTGTGAGTGTTAAATTTTCTAAGCCTACTTTTCTTATTATGTCTCCTAGAAACATCAGCTGTTTCTTTTTTTTATTCTAAGTGTCAGTGTCCTAGTTGTATCTATTTTCTTCGAAACTTCCTCATTGCTTACATGTTCAGTATGTGGTATTCTCAATATCCTTGTATAGAACTACAATTCTGCTACCCCAAGTCTTCCTTTTCCTTAGATCTCTTAGAGATTTAAGGACATTTACCAGCATTCACTGGCATGTAGAAATATTGATATTGCCAAGAGTTCAGAACTCATTTCTTGCTTTGTAACTAAATTTTCTTATTTCTTAATATTTTCTTTAGCTTTTGAAAAGCATCTTTCGCTATTCGTATAAATCTTCGGATTTTTGTGTCACCTTTTCCGTCTTCTGTTATAACACTTCCCAGATATTTTAATTTCTGTACCTCATTGATATTGACGTCTCCAATTTGTAACTTGTATCTTGGGCTAACCCTTTTGCTAACAACCCTATTATTGTATCTTCCTACAGTTGGTGGTTAGTTCTTTCTTCGCGCTTTCTTGTACAACTTTTTCAAGAAATCCCTCTACTTTCCTTGCCTTGTCTGCTATCAACACGTTGTCATCTTATGTTAAGATTATGCCTACTGATAATATTTCCTAGTAGAACTTGTCCGGAGTACAGCAGAAATGCCTCCAACATACACCTCCCCAAAAAACTATATCTTACCATTTTGTGGTAGGTATTTCTTGGAGATATATGCGGGAGATATTTCTTATGGGTATGTGCGGGAGATATTTCTTGGAGGTATATGCAAGAGGTATTTCTTGGAGGTATCTGCGGGAGGTATTTCTGGAAGGTATATGTGGGAGATATTTCTTGGAGGTATATGCGGGAGATATTTCTTGGAGGTATAAGCGGGAGGTATTTATTGGAGGCATATGCGGTTGGTATATACGGGAGGTATTTCTTGGAGGTATGTGCAGGAGGTATTTCTTGGAGGTATATGCGGGAGGTATTTCTTGGAGGTATATGCGGTTGGTATATACGGGAAGTATTTCTTGGAGGTATGTGCGGGAGGTATTCCTTTTAGGTATATTTTGGAGGTATATTTTGGAGGTATATGTGGGAAGTATTTCTGGGAGGTATATGCGGGAAGTATTTCTGTTGGACCCTGGAGTTCTCTTAGGATCACCTCACAGTAAAAGTTGAATAAGTCCGGTGAGAAAACTCATCCTTGTCTTATGTCCCTTCCTATTTTTGTGCACTTACTGAATTCGTTTTCTACCCGTATGCAGGCGGTTTGCCTCCAGTATAACTTCTGGATAATTCCAATAGCCTTTCCCAAATAAATAAAGTTTTCCTAGCAGTTCAAATAGACATTGAACTTACTACCTTATCGAATGGAATCACGAAACTATCTTGCGAACTATGGCGCAATGTTAGTCACCCAAGTATTAACCAAGCAATATGGCACTTGTTCAAAAGCGGGAGACAGCCAGTGAGAATATAATTCGTAATGGTTTGCGAGATATGCTTGCCAAAGGGAAGCGTCCTTCTTTTTCTATCAACTTACAATTACAATCAGAAGGGGACAATTGACATTTCTGGAGGACATAATGACGAGAGGGGGCCTAGTGTTGTGGAGTATTTTCACAGTGGAGGCTTGTATTTCTAATAAGTCGTCCTAAATTAGGTCCGACGTCCAAAACGTTAGGAACTTGGAAAATAAGAGTCAATGGCGCAGCAATGTAGTTGTGATGGTTGGTACTTCAAAATGTCCGAATCTCGACTGACGCGCTCAACACCATTCGGTATTTATCTTTTCACCCACGGAAAAGAATATGGCACAAGGCCGGTTTTTATGTGGGTTTCCCCGAGCCCGTAGGCTCGGCCAAAAAAATAGCCTTTTGAAGCCGATTAAATGGGTTCAGGCCCTGTCTACCTCCCCGGACGAAACCTTGCCCTTCGGCAAAGCTTCGTCCGGGTTCCTCTCTGCTAATGCAGAGAGTTCGACAGGAGGTGTGCGCAGTCAGAGACCGCTCAACACCATTCTGCCAGACTTGCCACTGCTACTCTTACTTATTATCTATGGGAGAGTCCATTACAATAGAATTGGTACTATGGCATAACACCTAGAAAACTGAAAACTCTCAGGACAGATTGAGGGCAAAAGAAGCAAGCGAAAAATAATGGAAGAGTTTGAATGACAGAACGATAACAAAGAGGGATGCTAATCGGTCAAAGGTTACTTAAAGCAACAAAAGAAGGGAATTTGTGGCGAGCCATAAGCGGCCATGTCCTTAAGGAATATGGTATATAAAATAAGAATGATCATTTTCCTGTCTTTTCATCATTTTTTATCGACTTTCTCTGTTCTTTTTTTTTTTTTTTTCATAACAGTTGGTTTAATTTTTGGTTTCTTTCTTTTTCTTCCTTTCTTTTTTACTTTCTTTTTTAGCTTTTTTCTTTTTTCTTTCTTACTTTTTTACTTTCTTTCATCTTTACTTTCTTTCTTTCTTTTTACTTTTTTCTTTCTTTCTTTCATGCTTCCTTTCTTTCTATCTATTTTTCTTGCTTTCTTTTACTCAGTATCTTATTTTGTACTTTTTCTTATTTAATTCTTTTATATCATTACATTTTCTTTTCCGTTTTTTTTTCTGTTATTTTTCTTTTCACCTACGCTTCCTTTCTTTTTCTTTTCCTTTTTTCTTTCTTTTTATTTATTTTGCTCTATATTTCTTATTTATATTCTTTCTTATTCGGTTTCTTTCATTTATCTTTCCTCTTTTTTCTTTCTTATATTTTTTATTATAATTGCATTCTCTCATTCTTATTTGGCATGCTTTCTTTCCTCATATCTATCTATCTATCTCTCTTTCTTTCTCTCTCTCTCTCTCTCTCTCTCTCTCTCTCTCTCACTCTCTCTTTATTTATATATATATACACCGTGTCCTTTTGAAGCTGAGTTTCTTTATTTCTTTTCAACTTTCAGCCTATTTTTTATCATTCATTTTCCCTCACTCTTTCTCGAAATCTTTTTCCCTCCTTTCTTTCTTTCTTTCTTTCTTTCTTTATTTATTTATTTATTTATTTATTTATTTATTTAGTTTCAGCTGTCTCTTTCTATTCGTTATCATCCGTTTTCCCTCACTCTCTCTTCTCACTTCTTTCTTTTCAACTTTCCTCTCCTATACTTCATCATCCGTTTTCCCTCACTCTCTCTTCTCAGTTCAAAATTTTCTTTCTTTCTTTCTTTTCAACTTTCCTCTCCTATACTTCATCATCCGTTTTCCCTCACTCTCTCTTCTCAGTTCAAAATTTTCTTCCTTTTCAACTTTCCTCTCCTATACTTCATCATCCGTTTTCCCTCACTCTCTCTTCTCAGTTCAAAATTTTCTTTCTCTCTTTCTTTCTTTCTTTCTTTTCAACTTTCCTCTCCTATACTTCATCATCCGTTTTCCCTCACTCTCTCTTCTCAGTTCAAAATCTTCTTTCTCTCTCTCTTTCTTTCTTTCTTTCTTTCTTTCTTTTCACCTTTCCTCTCCTATACTTCATCCGTTTCTCTCAGTCTCTCTTCTCAACTCTAAATCTTCTTTCTGTCTTTCTTTCTCTCTTTGTCTCTTCATATTAATCTCGATAAATATCTATCGTCTTTAGCATGTTCTTTCATATCTGAAATTTTGTTTGTTTGTTTGTTTGTTTGTTTGTTTCTTTGTTTCTTTGTTTCTTTGTTTCTTTCTTTCTTTCTTTCTTTCTTTCTTTCTTATTCTTCAACATCCAGTTCCCCGTTTGCAATCTCTCTGTTATAACTCGAAATATTTCCCCCTCTTCATTCTTCACTTCGCGCTCTTTGTTCATTCTGTTTCTTTCTCCTCCCCCCTCCTCCTCTCTCTCTCTCTCTCTCTCTCTCTCTCTCTCTCTCTCTGTCTTTCTCTTTCTCTCTCTTGGCACTTTACATTTCCTTGTCCGGTTGATAAATAGTTAAATCACTGGAAGATTCTCGAGCTAAAAAAGCTGCAGATGTTTAATTTATCTAAAATCTCTGCCCTTGATCGGAAGAAATCGACCGCAACGCTCCGTCCATGATTGGCGAGCGTCTTTTTTATCTGCTCCATTTTTTCAAAAATTATTTCTTTCCTAAACAGACGATTACTTGCACACTTTACTTTCTTTTCTTATTTTCCTTTTCTTTATTTTTCTACTCCTTCTCTCTTTTGATTCGCTTTTTTCACCATGCATGTTTCTCTTCCTTTCCACTTTTACTTCATTTTCCTGTTCTCTTCTCTCTGTATATATCTCTTCCTTCCTTCCTTCCTTCCTTCCTTCCTTCCTTCCTTCCTTCCTTCCTTCCTTCCTTACTGCCTTCCTTACTGCCTTTCTTTCTTTCTTTCTTTCTTTCTTTCTTTCAAACTGAAATCAAGTAGTGTCTTTTCCCCTCTTTCCACTCAATCAAAATGGAATATTCTTTCTTTCTTTCTTTCTTTCTCTTTCTTTCTTTCTTTCTTTCTTTCTTTCTTTCTTTCTTTCTTTCTTCTCTTAATTTCTTACAATTCTATGTCTTTATTCTTTAATAATCTCCCTCCTTTCTTGTTTTTTCTTTCTACTTTCCTTTCTATTTTCTCTCTCCTGTGTTTCTTATCTTTTTCACTTTTATTTTTGTACCCATTTTCTTTCTTTCTTTTTTCTTCCTTTCTATCTTTTTTTCTCTAAAAATCATTCTTTCTTTCTCTCGTCTTCTTTTTTCTTCTCTTCATGTTTCTAAACATCTTTTAGCGAACTTTCGACGTGGTGTAATGTTTAACAAGCTTAACTTGCCACATTAATTACGAGTGAGTTCGATCTTCACTGGGTGTTCCATACTTCCGGCCTTGTGCCACATCTGAGCGATGCTTAGAAAATAACCTTGGCCACCTCGACGTAGTATAACGGTCAGCAAGCTTGTCTCGCTAAACTATTACAACTGAGTATTGAGTTTGATCCTCACTGGGTGTCCCCATACTATCGGTTTATCTTATTTATTTATTTTATTGCATCTTTTTATCTATATGTTTATCTGTCTGTCCGCCTTTTTGTCTTCAGTTAGAACCAATTTCTTGCATTTTCATTATCAACAATTTAAATCAAAATTTCTCTCTCTCTCTCTCTCTCTCTCTCTCTCTCACACACACACACATACACACACACACACATATATATTTACATATATATATATATATATATATATATATATATATATATAAAAGTATCGCACATCAAGTGCTGGTTGTAATCAAACGGTTTGATATGTCGATGTATAACACAGCTAATATTTATATCAATGTTAAATATACATTTTTTACTCGCTAGTAGCACAACTCTCTCTCTCTCTCTCTCTCTCTCTCTCTTTTACACACACATATATATATATATATATAGAGAGAGAGAGAGTTTGTCTGATAATCGAAAAAGCGTGAAACCCAGGGTTAAAAAATTCATATCCATACAAATGAATGTTAGCTCAAAAACTGATATGGAGAACTTTCCAATAAATACTGCGCATATAATATATATATATATATATATATATATATATATATATATATATATATATATATATATATATATATATATATATATATATATATATATATAAAAGTATATATATATATATATATATATATATATGTATGTAAATATATATATATACTAAAGGTATATATATATATATATATATATATATATATATATATATACTAAAGTTTTGGGCTACACAGAATTGCCTTTCCTGATGTGTTTTATCCTGTATTCAATAATAATAATAATAATAATAATAATTGTATTTAATAATTATTAACTTTCATAACGTCTTTGGTTTTAATGAACTTCTTCTTCTTCTTCTTCTTCTTCTTGTTTTTGTTGTTGTTGTTGTTGTTGTTGTTTACACATTTCCTTCCGTGTTGCAACCAGATACCTAAAATAATGACCCACAAGTACAGGTCTCACCTTATGAAGGGTTTTATTTATGTAAAATTTGTTTTGTATTAGGTTGTCTACTTTTAATTTATTTCTTTTACAAAAATGTTCAGTGTAAAATGTCATAATGCTATTTCTTATCTGTGGTTGGCACCCACAAAGAAATGTGTCTACAAGAGAAATCAAAAGAAATATTAGGTTGGTGCAAAAATAATTACGTAATAATGTCGTTTTGTGGCGTATTTTTTAACCTCAAAAAGCGACATTATTACGTCATTATTTTTGCACCAACCTAATAATATAAATATCAACCAATCCACCCAAAAGAGTGGACACAATGTAGTAATCGTTGAAATAGTTTCAGCGTTCTAGTTTAGTAAGAGTTCATTAAAACTGAAAAAGGTATGAAATTTACTAATTAATAAATGCAGAGTGTGACCCAAAACTTTTCGCCTATATTACACACACATACATATATCTATTAATATATTTTCTGTTTACACGTCATTTTTATCGATAAAGATATTTAAGTAAATGCTCTATTTATATTAAACAGTATGAGCAAAATTTACCAGGCTGAATGTCTGAGAAAATTCATAGAAAATATTTGTCCTCCGACAGGAATCGAACCAGTATCCTATACGAAACCGCCATGTAACCTGACGTGGAAGTATCGGGTTATACTTGCCGATAAATGTTAATACTGTTTATTATAGACAGAGCATTTACTTAAATATTTGTATCTATAAAAATAACGTATAATCAGAAAGTATATTAAAATAATTTTCAGACTTAACTCCATTTCATAATATATATATATATATATATATATATATATATGAAAACAAAACAGACTAATGCGTTCACCACGATCATTTTCAAAAAAAGTTTCGCACACGAGGAATCAAGCAGGGATCGGATTTTACTGATAATACTATCTACAGCGAATTCACAACAGCCAAAAGAACCACAGTTGGTGAGTCTTCCCCGTTTCCCAGTTTATTTCTCGCACTGCTGATGAAGAACACGGGCGTGCCTGAAAATTCCGGGCTAATAAAGTTAAACTCCGTGCTTCATTTCTGTCTTGTCGGTAACAATTAATATATAATAAAAGCTTTTCGCACTGATCACATTGGTACCCTTTCGTTTTCCCTTATTTGATTAACCAACCTATTATATATATATATATATATATATATATATATATATATATATATATATATATATATATATATATATATATATCGTATAAAAGTCTCAAACACTAATATTCCATGGTTATAATTTATTACATTGGAATCGTAATCACGATCCAATTCATCAGACATACAAATTCAAAAAGAAATCGGTAATATTATATTCTGTCCTAGACATTGAGGCTTATCTGGATTCTATCCTCTTGGAAATTTAATATATATATATATATATATATATATATATATATATATATATATATATATATATAACATTATCTATATATCTATATAAATTTATCTACATATCTATCTATATAGATATAAAGTGAACATTAAGTCAACACTCAGAGGCGACAGGCTGTTTCATGCTGGAGGCAATCGTCAGATTCGCGGCCTGACGGTTGCGTCGAGCATGAAACAGCCTGTCGCCTCTGAGCGTTGACTTCAATGTTCACTTTTTATATTTATATTTACATACGCTCTATCTCTGATATTGAGAACTTTATCCCATAAATATAACACGCCTTAAAACTATATTTCTTCATATATATATATATATATATATATATATATATATATATACGTTTGTATATATATATATATATATATATATATATATATAGATAGATAGATAAATATCAGTGGTCAATATATATATATATATATATATATATATATATATATATATATATATATATATATATATATTCCCAAGAGGATAGAATCTAGGTAGAACTCAATGTCCAGTACAGAGTAAGAATATAATATAAAAAGGGCTCAAACACTAATATTTGAATTTGTAGGTCTGATGAATTGGATTACGATTCCAATGTAATAAATTATAACCATGGAATATTAGTGTTTGAGCCTTTTTACTATATATATATATATATATATATATATATATATATATATATATATATATATATATCGAAGTACACATATATATGATAAAGCGCACGCGCACACACACACTCACACGCACTCACACACACGCACGCATATATATATATATATATATATATATATATATATATATATATATATATATATATCGATTAGGACACACCTTCTCTTTTTTAAGCCGGCCTCCCGCCAACACCGGCCAATTCGTTCCTAAGCTGACCGATATTCTTTTATTTCTTGTTTATTTCTCCTTCTTTATTCTTATTCCGTCGTTCACATATTTTTCATAATTCATTCAACCGTTCCAATACAACTTCAGCTGGCCGTCGACCGTCTCAGCTGCCGGCCAAAGCTTACTGGATATTTCACGAGACTCTCCTGTATCACCTCGCCGTCCGCAAGTGGTCGGTCCATGTGCCAAACTGATCAGACTAAATAGACAAGTGGACGTGGACTCAATACACGAGTAAAACTTCACCGTGAAAGCACGTGTACCTTTCTTTAGGACCAACAAAAAACGATGTCGCGGCGGAGACTAGAGGCAGCTATTCGAAACAAGAAAGGGAGCATTGCAGGTAAGTCAGAAAACACCTCACTACTTCAATCCGTTTTATGATGTTGCCTTTGTCTCTTCCCCCCACACACGTACACACACACACACATATATATATATATATATATATGGTTTAATATTGAAATTAAACTTTGGCACTTAAGTTTCTGTTTCAAAACATAGTCATTTCTGTGTCGCGATGGAATCATATATTTTTTTTAAATAATTATAATTTTAAGCTTTACCTCTGTATCGAGCAATGTTTTTTTTTAATAAAAACAAAAATACTAAAAAACTTTGGATCATTAATCTAACTGTTCTTTCATATGACATCAATACACACACACACACGCGCACACACATTTATATTTATGCGTGTGTGTGTGTGTATGTGTGTGTATATATATTTTTTTTTATAGATACAAATATATATATATTGCTATTTTTATCAAATAAAATTTCAGAAAAGTATATTTTATTATTGAAAGGGAATTATGTTGTCAGATTTGTCAATATGGAAGATTTCATCGATTTTAATGATAATCAGAAAAAATAATTCCAATCAATTTAAATTCGGTTTGAAATACCGCAAAGTATTTTGATTTTTGAAAATATTAAATTTAATTTATTGGCTTGAAATTAAAACTAAAATAAAAGTTTCAAGAATTATTTTTCATTTTTAAAATGCATTTTAAAACCTTAGGCATCGCTTTTTTTTTTATGGAGATCCCTATATATATATATATATATATATATATATATATATATATATATATATATAATTTGACACATACAAATATGTCAATGCGTAAGCATTCATATACACACGCACACACGCAAAAGAAAACAATCAACCTAACCTGAATAATAGTAGCAACCGAATTAGTGCATAATTACACCAAACTTCGCATAACAATAACAAAAAACGAGAATATACGCTGTAAATCGCTGAAACCTCCTGACGAATGGACCGAAAGATTTTGAAAACGTTCGTCTACGAAACTCCGGAGTTGAGGTGCTGAATATAACATCTACTAACTATTTTAATTTTATTTGTATTAGAACTATATATGTTATCATTTTTCAAAACACGGTCAAGATATTATGTTCATGTTTAAAGATAATATTATTAAATGAGATCTAATTGAGCTATGGTCTGAAAGGTGTAGAGTGAGTCTAAGTGCCAAACATTTCTTATTTTAACAGTTAAAGTATAATCCTTGAAAATGGATAAATATATATATATATCCGAAAGCGCTCGGATAAAAAGAACATTCGAACAGTTTTTATATAATTTATCATCCGAAAAGAAAAAAAAAATTAGATCGCATGAGAAATTGTATAAAAAACTAATTAAAATCACCTTGTCTGTCGTTTTCAATGAAATCTGCATATATATATATATATATATATATATATATATATATATATATATATATGTATATATATGTGTGTGTGTGTGTGTGTATACATGTAAATATATATACATATATATATATATATAAGTATATATATATATGTGTGGGTGGGTGTGTTTTTGTGTGTGCATGTACATATATATATATATATATATATATATATGTATATACAGTGTTCGATGGATAACGTTTGTCTAAATGATACAAAAATTGAAAATAACACTGACATCTCATTTTAACAGATATATTTACTAAAATTACACAAAAATATCTTGAAATACTAAAGAGAAAATTTATTCAATAAACAAATTCGGAATCTCTTGCAACACTTTTGGACGGTCGCCTTTTTTAAGTTGATGAATGCTGGCATAATCTTCGTCTTGGACTCATCGTTGGTGTTACAAGGTGTTTTGCTGGACTCTCGCTCACTTACGCCCCATACATAATAATCAAGGTGGGTTGCAGCCAGTGGAGTTAGGTGGCTAGATATAAGGGGTGATGTGGTCGCAGAAATTGTCTGACAGCCATGACTATGTTCTCCTGCTTTGTTGGCATGGTGCAGAGTCCTATTGACAGACATTGAATCTTCCAGCAGACACTCCGTTAAACTAGGACAGCACTAGCGCCTCAAAGCACTTAATGTAGGCCTCCGAATTGAAACCTCCATATATGTATATACATGTAGATAGATAGATAGATAGATAGATAGATAGATAGATAGATAGATAGACGGACATGAACCGATTGAGATAGACAGATATCTGGATTCAACAACGAAAAGATTTATACTTGTGACATTTTTTTAATATCTATAAATAGATAGATAGATAAATAGATAGACAGGAACAAACATAGATAGATAGATAGATAGATAGATAGATAGATAGATAGATAGATAGATAGATAGATAATATAATATAATATAAACCTAAAGAGCCAGGCAATCCTACCTAGATTTCACCTAAACGGATCGTCAGGGTAAAACTGTCCAAAAAGTTAAAAAATGGAACAGAATGTATAGTTCAAACCACAAACAACCATGACAACGTGCCAAAAAAAAGTACAAAAAAAAACAAAAACAATTAAAATCAGTAAAAACTCAACAACGGAGGGTTAGGGGTTACGTTCTGGATTCAACAACGAAAACAAAAAAGAAGAAAACAAAAAAAAACGAAAAAAAAAAACTATTCTAATAATCAGCGTTTCCTATGTCTACACCTACTAAGAATTTCTGATTTTAAATTTAATAAATTAATTGGGTTCTTTATTGCTTGCAATAGCTAACTTTTCCTCCGTGCATAGGGAATAAAATTTATCACCTGATTTATACTTGTGACATTTTTTTTTAATATTTCAAATTTCAAAATGAGGTCTTTATTATCTTCTTGTCTGACCTTCCATACATAACAGGAAATGGTGGTACTATAACGACCTTAGTAGTTTCAATAGTGAAACTACTAAGGTGGTTATTGTATCGTTTTTTGAAATTATTCTGAGAAGAACCCATGTAAACCTTAGGGTTTTTATCAGTATTGTTCGGTTTATACTTTTATATATTTACTTGGTAAACCACGCACTCCTGTTGGCATTTGCCCTGGACGGAGCAGGCTTCCTTCATCCTACAATTACACTTAGGGGGGACGGTGCGTGGTTTGTCTGTAATTTTTCTTTTATTATATCTAATATAATAAGAGAAAAATTAGGCCATATTAGGCTTACAGCTATAGCTTAATTTGACGTAGTTTTTATTGAAGATTTTGTGCAAAGTATTTATGGGGAATTCTTTTTTATTAGCTTAAAAATATCTTGCCTATATTGTTTTTCACCGCTAAATTATATGGGGGTGGCTATGTATATATTTGTATGTATAAATATGTATGCATATATGTATGCACATATATGTATGTATATATGTACTTGTACGGGGGCATATATGTATATATACGTATGTATATATGTATGTATATGTCAGTGATAATTATACTCGCTTTGCGAGTCGACAGCCACCATATATATATATATATATATATACAGATATATATATATGTGTGTGTGTGTATTCATATGCATATATATACATATTATATTTATATAAGTATATATTTATTTGCATATAAATATGCACACACAATATATATATATATATATATATATATATATACACACACATATATATATATGTCTGTGTGTGTGTGTGTGTGTGTGTGTGTGTGTGTGTGTGTGTGTGTGTGTGTGTGTGTCTTTTTAAATGCGAAAAAGTATTTTGTTTACTCCGAATAAAATTGAAACACGATCGTAACGCGATTTTATTAAAAGCACGATTATATTAAACAGAATCGAATAGAAAACGAGCTTTTTTTACTCAAGTGTTATGTAAATATCTGTTATTTTATTCCAAGCTGATAAAAAGGCGCGTTTTTTTTCTTTCTTTTTTTTTTTGTTACGATATAAAGTTGTTTCTAGTTGATGTAAACCCCAACAGAAAAACTAAATAAAAATGGATCCCTTGTCTACCGTCTTCAACAATACACCCCACGAGAAGTGCGATACATGTTCGATCTCTACTCGGGATCGATTTTTCGAGTGCGCAGACCGACACACGTAATAGACACTGTTTAATAAATAAAAATGTGGCGTCTATTTGAATAATAACGTTTGATGTAATGAAAATGTTGGATTAAAAATAAGTCCATTCATTCTTTATATATACATACATATATATATATGCACACTATTTACTGAATATATGTACACATATATATATATATATGTCGAATATATATATATATAATATATATTGAATATACATATATATATGTGTGTGTGTGTGTGTGTGTGTGTGTGCGTTTATCATCTTCCTTGTGTCTACCAATGCGGATTACCTAGTTTTGCATAAACTATATATATATATATATATATATATATATATATAGAGAGAGAGAGAGAGAGAGAGAGAGGAATACGATATATAAATTTGTAGACATCGAGAACAATTTTTCAGAACAAAAACAGCTATGACAAAGTGGTAAAGGTTTTCGTGTGACGCGTTTCGTCCTTTAGGACATCATCGGACTACAGTGATGTTTACGTTTCTGCAACTACGCATGCGCGCACGTATGAGAGGGGACGATGAGAATTTTTTTTTTTTCAAGTATATGTTTGGGTATATAGTCTAAGCGATTTCATTTAGTTTCCTTCTCTTTTTTTGTTCATATTTCCATCACTTTTGTTATTAAATATCGCACATTTAAACCAAGAAAGATGAAATATATAAGAACCTGAACGTAAATTTAGTGCGAATGATCACGCAATTAAAGCACTTTCTATACATTTTCGTCTTAGTAAATTGTTTTTTTCCTTTAAATAATAAGTTTTTAATCAAAATTATGATAAACTGCAGTGCACCTATAGTGGGTTATCAGTTATAGTGAAGTATATGAATGTTGAAACAGATTAGTTTCATTTGGCCTTGTTAGTTAGATAGCCCACCATAAGAAGGGTATAAAACAAGAAAATCAAATTGTAAAATGAAACAACGAATTTATATACATATAAATCAATTATGTTCTTTATAAATAAAATTAATGTATTTTGGTTGATACATGGTCGTCAAAATATTCGTAGTAGTCCTTGCAAGAATGAGTTTATGTGTACGTAGGCAGGAATGTACGTGTGTATGTATGTATGTATAAGCGCTATCGAAGGGCAGGAATGTCTTTGAAGTAATAGCTCAGTCTTAAAATGCTCCGTTCGTTTATCAAATATAAAAGAGGTGTGGGAGAAAGTTAGAGGTTATAATAACGCTCGCTTGACATTATCAAGGGACATGTTAATACGCTCGTCTCCTATCTCTCTCTCTCTCTCTCTCTCTCTCTCTCTCTCTCTCTCTCTCTGGTGATAGGCGAACTTGCCCGTCTTTTTGTTTTGTTTGCGGGGCTTGGCAAGGTCATTTGGGAATTCACACCCGGATATGATCCGGGCCTCTCCATTGGACAATGAGCAAACTTCGCGTTGGCTCGCGAAAAGGTCCGTAAAAGAATTTGTTTCTGAGAATTGAAGATTATTTGAATTTTGTTTTTAAGTCTTTCCTAGTTTTCTATTGGCCGAAAAACATTTCGCATCAAGGTGTGAAATTTCACGAGTTTTGTTTCGGATTCGCTTTCGTAAGCAAAGTTTGTAAATTCGAGTCTTTTTAATTTGTATCAAAATCAATGAGTCAGTGCTTAGAATTTGAATTTTAAATCTAGATCTTGTTTTATTCACTACACACTTTCTATGAATTATTATTTATTTTGTTCAATTAAATTTAATGTATTGCTGTTTAGGCGGCATTATAACATCTTATATGAATGTCACAGATTTTTTATTTTTTTCATTTTTAAACACTTAAATTGTATTCACTGGTTTCTTTAAGAAGCCGTTTAATTATCAACGACAAAGTCTATGTTACAGTTAGCTATGCATTTGATTATCTTCCGACCCCTACCCTTAGTCTCTTATATATAAAATTGAACAAGTTATATATGGTTATAATTATAATTCAAGGTTGCTATTCTGTTATAGTTTGTATCAATTTTTTGTCTGCCACTTATGACCTTGTCTAGGATTCTATTTCAGACTACATTTAATAGATATACATTGGACTCTACTTTGTGCAATAAGAATGTATAATTACTCTCCAAGCTTAACAGAAGTGTCGTGATGAAATAGATCATAAACGAAAATGATATGTTCATCATTAAGTATCATAGCTAAGGTTAAAAGCTCATGAAGGATTGAAATTAAGTTTATAAATATATATATATATATATATATATATATATATATATATATATATATTATTATTATTATTATTATTATTACAGGATCATTTACCAACTCATTCAAGATGATCTTTGCCCTCTCTAACCTTTTATCCTGGAGTAACAAGGTGCCTCACATTTTCCACGTACGATTTCATTTTCAAGTATTATTTCACTGCTCTTTGGACTGTCATAGCTGAAACTTCTCTCTCACGAGCCAAACGTCTTACGGTTTGTGTTGGATTCATCTCTTTAGATCTAATTTGAAAGGATGATCCCTCTTCCTGTTGTGACCTCCTGATCCATTTTTCCTCATTACTGTTCCCTCTTTTTTAAACTAATTCACCTTTCTGCTGATGGTTCTTGAATGGACTTTGAAGATAGAAACCAGGGTATGAATATTGGTACCATTACTGAAGGCCTAAGTGATCTTTTTCCTCTCACCATTGCTCATTTGGGAAGACAGTGGGGCTGAAACAAAACGATTTTAACCTGTTCGCTTTCTAGCTAAATAACTCAAAGGTTTTTTTTTTAGTGATTCTTACGATAAATGGTGTCATGATGGCTAAACGTCTTATCTAAAGACCTGGAAAAAAAACTCAGTTACTTTCGTGGCTCTTTAGATATTAAACATTTTTTAGGATGGTCTATTATGGTGTTAAACGATTTGAACAGTTTTACACTTACACCTGCTACATGTATAGTGGAATTATACTCTATTTGTTCTCATTTTACTTGTATATATATATATATATATATATATATATATATATATATATATATATATATATATATATATATATGTATGTATGTATATATATATATACATATATGCATATATATTATGAATGTATATATATATATATATATATATATATATATATTATAATACTAATAGTAATACTCAGATGAAAAGAAAACGAATAGCACAACTTGTAAATATGCCAAAACAAATTGGTACCAGAGGAAAAAATTGTAAAATAAAAGATTTAATTTAGGTTTTCTGGGTTGTGTTGAAAAAAAAATGTTTTCGCTTCTAAAGTTTGGAAAAGTTAAGGAAACAGAACTAGAACATCCAAACAGGGAGAAACAAATCGTCCATTGCTTTAAGGTTTTAGTCCAAAGA